AAGAGATGGTCCTGCTACTTGTGGCAGTGCTTGAGCTGGTGCTTGAGGTGGATATGGTAGTTGTCGACAGGGTTATGCTGGACGTGCTGCTGCTGGTAGAAGTTGTAAATGTTCCTGTTGACGATGTGGAGCTGGACCTGGTGATCGTGCTGGTTGTGCTGGTGATGCTTGACAGTGTCGTTGTGGAGCGGGTGTTGCTGGACGTGGTGCTGTGCGTGGAGGTTTTACTGCTCGTAGTGACTGTACGAGATCTGGTTGTGCTTGTAGAATGGGTAGTGCTGGATGTAGTGCTACTGGTTGTGGTCAAGGTGGTGCTGGCTGTGGTGCTGCTGGATGTGGTGCTGATGGAAGAGATGGTCCTGCTACTTGTGGCAGTGCTTGAGCTGGTGCTTGAGCTGGATATGGTAGTTGTCGAAAGGGTTATGCTGGACGTGCTGCTGCTGGTAGAGGTCGTGCTACTGGTTGTGACAGTACTTGAGCTGGTGCTTGAGCTGGATGTGGTCGTTGTGGACAGGGTTGTGCTGGATGTGCTGCTGCTGGTAGAGGTGGTGCTGCTGGTTGTGGAAGTCTTGGAGCTGGTGCTTGAGCTCGATGTGGTAGTTGTGGACAGGGTTGTGCTGGACGTGCTGCTGGTGGTAGAGGTAGTGGTGCCAGTTGTTGTACTGCTTGAGGTGGGACTTGAGCTGGATGATGTAGTCGTTGAGAATGTGAGAATGTTGTGCTGGATGATGAGCTGCTAGTAGAAGTGGTGCTGGTGGCGGTGACTGAGCTAGAGGTTGTGGTCAGGCTTGTTGCAGAGCTGGTGCTACTAGCAGACCTAGTTGATGTTGAGGTAGATGTGTATGACCTTGTCGTCGAGCTGTGACTCACGGTGGTGGAGGTGCTCCTGGTCGTAGACGTTGTTGTGACGTGGAATCGCCACAAGTCACGCAAACAAGTGCATGAAGTATGGCAAGAAAAACCACCATGAATCCAAAGCGACATACTGGTGGCATCCCAAGCAGCCACATGTTTGTAGCGTGTTGAAGGTCCCTGTTGAACTTGGTCTGTGATCAAGTCCCAACTGAAGGTCTGCGTGTTGAATCTCCAAAGATCCTGTTGAGCCAAACCATTTATTCCACCCAAGCCACCATGAAACCAAATTGCTTGGTTTGACCCGTCCCATACTGCAACATGATGGGCTCGTATTCCCAAACCATCTTGGGAGATCAAAAGCCAGCTCCAAGCCACTCTGTTAAATTTCCACAACTCATCGCTCAAACCTTAGTAGCCGGTGAATTAATAACATATCCAAGCCCAACATGAACTTTTGGTGAAACACATGCAACAATTAAGAGGAATCTTGTTCAAGGAAAACATGAAACAAACGTAAACAAACAGTACTATTGCCCAAAACAACAGCCCTTGTACACATCCTTCTTCACACTGAGGCTTCTTGAAAGGCATTTTTTCACTAGCATATTCTTTACATCGTTATCAGCTAAGGAAAAGTTCAAATCTCAAACTTCCGTTATCGCCATCGCCATAGCCGTTGCTTCCAAAGCGACCACGACTGTCATATCCACCGTGAATCCACATGATTGAGTTGGTCGTATCCCATGCAGCGGCATGATGGGCTCGCGCTGAAGGCCACGGATTTCCATTCGGGACTTGAACCCAAGAACTCGACGAGTCTCGGGAGTTGAACATCCAAAGATCATCCTTGAGGGCACCGTCGAAGCCACCATGAAGCCATATCACAGAATCAGCATCCCACACAGCCACGTGATGGCTCCTGGCAGTTGGACCCTGTCCAGCTCCACCTGCCATGAGGGTCCAGCTGTTGCCCGAATACCTCCAAAGGTCGTTGAGTAAAGTAGCGCCGTCGTAGCCGCCGTGAATCCACAATGCCCTCTCACGGGCATCCCAAATAGCCACATGGTCTGCACGTTCCGAAGGTGCCGGATTCGGTAGCGGCTGCAAGTCCCAGCTACGGTTTTCAGCATCATATGTCCATAGATCTGGTTTGAATTCTGCATCACTTCCACCATGGATTAGGAATTGCTGACCTCCAGGATCCCAGGCAGCGACATGCGCAGAGCGTGCGGGTCCATGTTCTTCGACCAGAATCCAACCAGCAAGTGCTGATGCAAGTCCATTGAGGAGGCACAGCCCTTGTAGCGGACATGCCATGAAGCTCCCCCCCTCCGACTGTGGCATCATGAGGCATTTGAGCCGTGAAACAATCTTCAATCAAAAGTATTCATGCCTGTCAAACAACCCATTTTGGACCTAAGTGCACTACAAGCGAACACAAGATCCTGGCAAGATGTGGTTTTTTGACCTCACTAGGCCACTAGGGATTGTGGCTCACGTGCACAAGTGGCACAGAAAGAAAGGTTCTAGTCCATCAATGGTTTTTTATCAACCAAACATATGCACACCCACCCAGAGGGACATCTGACCCTTTGCCAAGGCCTCGTTTTCTTCAAACGTGGCAAGGCGGCACATCATCAATGAATCAAGCAAGACTAAAGGCAACAATAGGCAACGACTTTGTTGTCAGGAAACATCGCAAGAATCTGGAGCAGCGCTTTCAGCGCTCTTGGCAGGCAGGCAACATGTATTTCTTTGCCTCAGTGCAAGGCACAATGCTCCAAAATTGGTCATAACAACCAACAAGCTGTCCATTCCATTCGGCAAGCAGTCATGCACAATTCGGGACAAATTGTTACATTGCGTTGTCGTACAATACTCTCGGGGGGCCAAGCCTTGTGGAGAAAATCACCTGGGTTCACCCAGCGGTGTTTGCAAATCTAGAACTACGAAAGCGTGATAGTAGCTAGAAGCTACGTATTAGTATATAACTAGGGCGTCAGATGAATCTTGAAGTTTCTGGGAAGCGTCTGATGAGTCCACGAGCGCGCTAGAGATCTTTCCTCTGCATTGGCCCTTACAGCGGGGAGTGAATTTCAAGACATTATTGTTGAAAGCCCTTCTCTTACTAGCAAGCAGTTGCACTCATGATGTCAAAAGAACACCTGGGGTTGATGCAGCCAGCGCAGCTGCAGTGGGCTGCTGATCTGGATGCTCTTGAGCAACCAAACAAAAACACAATAATCCAGCTACTGTATAACTGAAATTCAGAAAGCATAAAAAAGCAAACACCAAATGTACCAAAAGCTGAATGCACAAAACCCAACACAGAACAGCAAACAAGCAAAACTATCCAAACGTAGAAAGCAAAAAAAACAGAGTCATCATAATGCCAGGTTGCCAGCCGAACTGTCCGGCTCCGGATTTAAGAAGCCCCACGTTCCTTGAACACTCAGGTTTGCGACCGGGTCACTCGAGTGAATGCCTGTGTATGGAGGTGAAAACTGCAAGCCAAATGCTGAGTCTTGCTTAGCTTGTCTCAACTGTTGGTAAACATGTGGATAACATGTTACGAGTATCTTCTGTGTGACATCATGTCAATTCAAGTGGCGGACAGTCGAATGAAGATGAGTGGTGGCCCCTGCTGGTCTTAAGTGCAATGTCACTACCTATCATTGGTGACTCGACTGTTGCTATGGCTGATGCAAACATATGAGCTGCCCAACATCGCCTGCAAAAACCTGCGAATGGTCACGAGGCACCCAAACATCCACCTTTTGTTCTCATCTGAGCGAGCCATCTGGGCCATCGCGCATAGTTCGCTTGGCAGATTCGTCCGGCACTTCCAGCCTCACAGAACGGCTCAGTATTTACTGTACCCCTCGAGCAATGATCGAAAGGTTCTGAACTGGCGAGTCACTCTAATGCGAGCCCATCGAAAAGACCCCGTGAAAGTCTGATAGTTCTGGGCGTAGGAGCTCTGTCAAGCTTTCTTCTGGCTGATTGTACTGGTACTGTGCATCTGACCCTGCCATCCTCTTGGAGGATTGCAAAGGATCTCGATGTAAATTTACACACCTGACAAACCACCAAGGTGGTTTGGACTAGTGTACCAAAATGGGCGACTTCTTTGGTCACCTTCTTTGTTTGGTACGAACTACGAACATCTACGAACATGACTCACATAGCAGGAATCCGACGATTCTTCAATGTGCATGACCGTTCAGTGAGGTCGACTCTTGCTCGAAAATGACTGAAGTTGAGCTTCGCTCTCTAGGATGTGAGCAATTGGGAGAGGTACTGGCACTGGTAGATCTATAATAGATGCGGTAGCACTCGGGAACCTGCGCTCCAGCTCTGGAATCGGGTGGATGTAGCTGCATGATTGCAGAAGCAATGCTTGCATCTGAAAATTCTCTGGAGTTTGATATGCCAAGCAGAATGATGGGCTGGCACTTGTATTGGTTGCACGCATGGAAAGTCCAAGCATTCAGGCTGGAATGTCAGGCTGAAGTGGAAGTGCTGGTGGGTCTCTGCTAATGTCTGTGTAAAGGCATTCAGGTGCGGGTACCTCTGTGCAAAGGCGTCTCCCGTCTGTTGTAGGATATAAGTCTGGTAGGGGTGAAGGTCGCTGTGGTTGGGATTTTGAACGCTGCTGTGTGCAAGGATCACTGGGAAAAGGAGGTGGCAAAAGTGGTTCTGCATTGATGTAAACTGCTAAAAGCGGAGGCGGGAGCAAAGGAGGAGGAGGTGGGGCCGGCAGTGTAGCCACCATGGTGGGTGGGACTATGGGCAAAGGGGATGGAACAGGTACTACAACTTTCCTTCGGCGCCTGCGAATCCCACAGCATGCCAAAATCAGAGCTCCAAGAACAACGACTGCAGCTCCAAGAGACATACAAATCATGCCAGTCAAATCTTCTGTGCAAACAATACATGTAGTTGTAAAGGTTGCTGTGCTACCAGTTGAGGTGGTAAAGGTTCTACTGGAAGAAGTGGAGGTTACCGTGCTGGAAGTCGTCCTAGATCTTGTGGTTGTTGACAAGCTGATGCTGGTTGTGGTGCTGCGGGTAGAGGTGCTACTGCTAGTTGTTGCAGTGCTTGAGATGGTGCTTGAGCTAGATGTCATAGTTGTGGAAATGGTGCTACTGCTCAATGTGCTGCTGCTGGAGGTGGTGCTGCTAGTTGTGACAGTGCTTGAGCCGGTGGTTGTGCTGGATGTAGTAGTTGTAGACAGGGTTGTGCTGGACGAAGTGCTACTGGTCGAAGTGCTGCTGGCCGAGGTAGAGCTGCTAGTTGAAGTAGTCCTCGAGCTGGTGCTTGAGCTGGACGTTATAGTTGTGGAGGAGGTGGTGCTGGATGTTTTGCTACTAGACCTGGTGCTGCTGGTAGAGGTGGTGCTAGACATGGTACTGGTAGTGGAAGTGATGGTTATGGAAGTGCTAGCAGTCGTGGTAGTGGTGACTGAGCTAGAGGTTGTGGTCAAGGTTGTTGCAGAGCTAGTGCTACTGGTAGACCAAGTTGATGTTGTGGTTGTCGTAGAGCTGTGACTCAAGGTGGTAGAGGTGGTCCTGGTCGTGGAGGTTGTTGTGACATGGAATCTCCATAAATCGTGCAAACACATATTTCCAGAATAACCACCGTGTATCCAGAGGGACATACTGGTGACATCCCAAGCAGCAGCGTGATTGAAGCGTCTCACAGGCCCTTCTTCTGGAGGTATGTCTGCGATCAAGTCCCAACTGTGGCTTAAGATGTTGAATCTCCAAAGTTCCCGTTGCGCCAGACCATTCAATCCACCCAAGCCACCATGAAGCCAAATTGCTTGATTCGTGGGGTCCCAGGCTGCAACATGATAAGCTCGTAGTCCAGGACCACTTTGGGAGACTAAGCTCCAGTTTGAAGCTTTGGTGTCAAAGGCCCATAACTCATTGCTCAAGCCTCGGCTCTTCCACAGTTGAATAATGGACGAAGTTGCTCAACAATCTGAAGGAACAGCTTTCTGGTTTTGTTACACTAGCTTGACACGTGTCAAAAGATCTTTTGGGGCGACGAAGAAACAAACACTATTGGACGAAAGGACTGACTGCCTGCATCTGTGTTGGAGCATTCTCACAGCTAAATCTCCCATGAATTCCTTATTCTTCCATGAAAACTAATATGCACACTTGTGGGTGGCTGTAATGCACACTGTTCACGCCTTAAGCTTTAGTTGTTTCCAAAGGGCCCGCATTGGCATATCCGCCATGAATCCACATGGCCGAGTTGGTCGTATCCCATGCCGCTACGTGATGCGCTCGCGCTGAAGGCCATCTGTTCTCAATTGGCTGAGCTCGAAGCCAAGAACTTGACGAATCTCGAGAGTTGAACATCCACAGGTCGTCCCGAAGAGCCCCACTGAAGCCACCATGAAGCAGGATGGCAGAACGGCCTGCGTCCCACACAGCGACATGACTGCTTCTAGCACATGGAGCCAGCCCAGCTCCATCTGCCATGAGGGTCCAGCGATCGTCCGAATACTGTATCTCCAAAGGTCGTTGAAAAGAGTAGCACCATCAAAACCACCATGAATCCACAACGCTAGCTCACTTGGATCCCAAACAGCCACATGGTCTCCACGTTTCAAAGGAGCCGAATTGAGTTGCAGCTTCTGATCCCAAGGACCACTTTCAACATCGTACGCCCACAAATCTGGTCTGAATTCTGTATCACTTCCACCATGAATCAGGAATTGTTGGCTTCTTGCATCCCACGCAGCGACATGCCCGGAGCGTCCTGGTCCCTGTTCTTCGACTAGAACCCACACAGCAATTACTGATGTGAGTCCATTGAAGAGGCACAGCCCTTCTAGCGGACATGCCATGAAGCTGACCCCTCGGAATGTAGCATCATTGAGGCATTTTTGAGCCGTGAAACAATCTGCAAAGGAAGATGAGCCATAATTGTGTCTTAATCACAAACATCCATAGACTCTCCTCCGCAAACAATAAATTCTCCCACTGCGAGCCGAATCCAAACATTCTCTGAAAATCTTCAAAGAGGACTTAGGGCAACAAATTTTTGTCGAGTCAAGCACAAGAGTCCCGTGTCCGTGGTCCCGGGCCATCATGGATGGTCGCCCACCAAGCGCCCACCAGGGAGAAAGACAGCCAAGCAGCGCGTGGTTGCCTGGAAGGGAGAGAAAGAATGCAATCGAGACACAAAACTGATTTTGTCTTGACCGTCAAGACCCATGATGTTCCAATGCCTTATGCATCGACAGAGTCAACCTACTGGATGCGTCGGTCTTGTTTACCTCAAATTCTCACCTGCCGGCCTCGTAATTGTTGCCCTAAGCTTGGTTAGGATCAATCCATTGCCTCCTTCCTCTGAAAGTGAACGCAAAGGCGCTCTTTTGCGTTCAACTTTGGATCCTTGGGACAAAGATGGATGGTTGAAGCTCAAAGGGATGGGATCGAAGATGTCGCCTATTGCATCTGACCGCAAAGGAAAAGCAAATCCCGAGAATGGAAAAACAAATATTATCCAAAAGATTCCAAAAGCCAATGACTGTTTGGAGAAGCTCAACAAGCAAAGAAGAACAGCTACATTTACATTGAAGAGCTTCCAAACACAACCATTTGCCCCTCTTGCGTCTTGGGCAATTGCCTTGCAAATCTTGGGGTAGCAAACAAGACCCAAAGGCAAAGGCCATGCATTGCAAGTATCATAGGTTGCTAGCTCGACTGACCTGACTATGTTATATCATTAATGCACTAACCAGCAGGTTTAATTTAAAGAACTAAGCTCGGAGATCGTGTTTGGGTATTGTGGCCCACTACTAGATGCATTCCAAAACTCCTTGTGGGGTCAGCGAACATGCTCAAAAGCTATTTTCTTTGTTTCCATACAAAGGAGAAACCACTCGGCACGGCATCTTGCATGGCAAGCATAGGTTGAAGGTTGAAGGGGTAAACTTGAAGAGAGAAGGTTACATCGGCATGGATCCAAAACAACTTCGATGCCAAATGGCCCTTGCCAAACCTCTATGGTCAGTCTTCAATGTTGTCTTTTTAGGAAAACCCCTAACAGTACGCTGTTGGACAAAATTATACTGTGTAATTACCCATGACTTAGGAGTTAGAAGAGGTACACCAAACAGCATGAGTCCTATCTCATGCGGAAAGGTACTTTTGAACAAGTGTTTCATACATAACTCCGGCGACTCATGAGCCGGGGGCAGTGAAAAGAAATGACTAACAGTGTGTCCGAAACCTGTTGCGACAATTGTGAGATGGGGCTTCCAAACAAACAAATTCCCATCTAGCGCATGTCCACCATCCCAACTAATATGAGTTAGGAGTTAACCCAAGCAAGTCCTAACTCATCCGACCACCAAAGTCCTAACTCATTTGCACCAAATCCAGCTCCAGCTGACCACAAAAATGCAGAATCTACATCGCAAAAGCTTCTCTCATTGTTTACGGTACCCAGGCTGTAAACTTACAATGTTGCCGAGCTGAGACGGCTCAAGACATGCCATGAGGACGCATTAGACAAACACCTCGAAACTTCCAGTCGCTCAGAAATACATGCCTTGATTCAACAAGGACATACATACAGCAAACCATTGAATGAATCCATCTCCCACAAAACAACGTTTGCCACATCACCACATTGTATGTCGCCACACTGCAACTCACATGGCAAACACACTTCGCCACATGAACATCAGTGATCGCGTTCAACTTCACCAAGCACACGACACATTACATCACATGACACGACTGACACGACTCACCACATTGCACTTCCCAGCATCACACATGAGAACACATCAGATCAAACATCAACTACAACCACATCCCCACATCAAAATAACCACACGTCAATACATTGCACATCAGAAGCACATGGGCAAAACGTATCTGTTGGGCACTTCTCCCCCTGTGAGAATAAGTGGACCTGATACATGGTACAAATCCGTTTTGACTTTGACCGATTTTTTTGGATTCAAAGTCACCAACTCAAGTGTCATTTTTGGGAAGCTCAATGAAGCCCATGAACTCCACTGTCTTCTTCCTCGAGCTCCAGGTTTCCAAGCAGCGTGCTTTCGGCTTCGCCAGTACCTCAATGAGGCCACAGACTGATCCATTTCTCGGTTGTGCAAGTCACTGACACAGGCAGGTCGCGCCAGAAAGCTCTACAGTAGCTGCAATCTAGCTTTTGTTTTGCCCTGGTCCCTGTTCTCAATCCATCCTGTTTTGAATTGTCGCAGCCTGCGAGAAGCACGTTGGCAGGAGCAATTATATCAAGTCCCATCAAACACATCCTGGGCGTTGGAGCTCTGTCAAGCTTTCTTCTGGCTGATTGTAGCGGTACTGTGCATCTGACCCTGCCATCCCCTTGGAGGATTGCAAAGGCTCTGGATGTAAATTTACACCCCTGACAAACCACCAAGGTGGTTTGGACTAGTGTACCAAAATGGGCGACTTCTTTGGTCACCTTCTTTGTTTGGTACGAACTACGAACAGCTACGAACATGACTCACATAGCAGGAGCCCGACAGTTCGTCGTTCTGCATGACCGTTCAGTGAGGTCGACTCTTGCTCGAAAGTGACTTAAGTTGAACCTGGTTCTCTAGGATGTGAGCAATTGGGAGAGGTACTGGGCACTGGTAGATCTATAGTAGGTGCGGTAGCACTGGCAAATCTCCTTCCCTCATTCTGCCCAGGTGCACAGTACGTGCTGCACATCCAGCATACTGCCAAAGAGGCCCTTCCTGCGCTCCAGCTCTGGAACCGGGTGGACGTAGCTGCATAATTTGAGGGGCAATGCGTGCATCTGAAAATTCTCTGGAGTTTGATATGCTCGGCCAAGCAGAATCATGGGCTGGCACTTGTATCGGTTGCACGCGTGGAAAGTCCAAGCATTCAGGCTGGAATGGGTCAGGCTGAATTGGAAGTGCTGATGCGTCTATGCGATGGCGTGTACTGCAAAAGTGCACCCCCCGCCGCCTAGTTGGTGGATACAAGTCTGGGGCTGATGAAAGCTGTGGATGGGCATTGGAATGATGTGGCACACATGGATCAGAGGGAAAGGGAGTTGGCACAAGTGGCTCTGTATTGATGTACTCCATGAGAATTGGTGGAGGAAGTGGAGGTGGTGGTGGCGCTGGTATTATAGCTGTCATTGGGAGTACTATGGGCGAAGGGGACGGAGCGGGATCTGCAAAAACTTTCCTTCGACGCTTGCGTATCCAACATGCGAAAATTAGCGCTGCAAGAACAACGATTGCGAATCCAGCCAATATGCAAATAATGCCGGTCAACTCTTCCACCATGCAAGTTGTTGTACTAGTTGCCGTGCTACTGGTTGATGTAGTAAAGGTTTGGGTCGAAGACGTGGAGGTGGTTCTTGTTCTGGTGGCGGAACTGCTTGTGGAGGTAGAACGGGTCAGTGTGCTGGATGTTGAGCTAAATGTTGTCGTTGTGGAAAAGCTGGTGGTGGGTGTAGTGCTACTGGTTGTGGTCAAGGTGGTGCTGGCTGTGGTGCTGCTGGATGTGGTGCTGATGGAAGAGATGGTCCTGCTACTTGTGGCAGTGCTTGAGCTGGTGCTTGAG